TGCTGGAGGCCAAGCCCAAGCGCGGTCGCCGCTCCTGGCCGCGCAAGCGCACCGCCACCCACACCTGCAGCTACGCGGGCTGCGGCAAGACGTACACCAAGAGCTCGCACCTCAAGGCGCACCTGCGCACGCACACAGGTGGGTGCTGGCGGGAGGCGGGGGTGTCGCGCGCTGGGGAGACGCGTTCTATTGCGTGGGCGAGAAGAGGAGCTGGGAACGCCCTTGGGTCGAGGCTCAAGATCTGGGGAGGGGGCGCACACTCCGGACCCCTCCCCAAGGGGCGTGGCCCAGGAGATTGGGGAGAGGGAGCGAAAGCTCACAGCTGGGGCCAGGGCAGGGCGCCTCAGGAGGTTGGGGAGAGGGATCACACTTAGGAAATGTCGTGGGACGTGGGTAGGGGGACTGCCCAGGACGCTGGGATGGGACGCAGTGCACACTCAGGGTTCACCAGGGTCGAGGCTTAGGAAGCTGGGGAGAGGGTGTGCACTTAGGCACTCAAGAGACCTGTCTGCCGTCTGGGAATGTTGGGGGGGGTGCACGCTCAAGTCCCCTCTGGGGGTGTGGCTCGGGATCTTCTGGAGAAGGGAATGCTCTTGGGAAACCAGGGGGACCCTACGATAGCGATAGCGAGAGGCGCGTTTAGAACACTCCTGGGGGCGTGGCTGGAAACCCTGGGGAGTGGGCACTGCCCACTGGACTTCCAGGGTGAGTGGGTATCAGAAAGGTGGGGGGCGTGTGGGTTAAGGCTCTTAGGAGTTCAAAACGTGGGCAGGCATGAGGGCTAGGGCTGGGGACAGGTGCGCGCTGGAGGAGGCACTATGGTGGCCTGCAGGCTGTGTCCTGGCGGGGAAACTGAGGCTCACTCGCTGTCCCTTCCCCGCAGGTGAGAAGCCCTACCACTGCAACTGGGAAGGCTGTGGCTGGAAGTTCGCGCGCTCAGACGAGCTCACGCGCCACTACCGCAAGCACACGGGCCACCGGCCCTTCCAGTGCCACCTGTGTGACCGCGCCTTCTCGCGCTCCGACCACCTGGCGCTGCACATGAAGCGGCACATGTAGCCGGGACACCCCCGCCTCTCCGCGCGCGGCCGTGGCGGGTCCCACGTGCCGGGCACGGCCCTCCCAAACTGTGACTGTATTTATTGGACCCTGAGGACTGGGCTGGACTGTGTGGCCACGGAGGGGCTTCTGTCGCCGCCCCATGACAATGACAACGCCACCACCCCAGCCCCTATCCGTGACTAAAGACCCAGTGGGAGAGGACACGATCCTCTTCTCTTCGACGAGTTCTGTTTTCAAAAATGGTGCAATAATTAAGTGTCCCCTTCCCTCCCACGGGTCTACACTAGAGGATCGAGGCTTGATGCTTCGTGAGAGAGAACAGCCTTCCTTTGTACTGTCTGCGGTATTTTTTATAATATTGTACATAGTGACTGTGACAGATATTGTATTACTGTACATAAGGGAGACAGGCGGGCTTTTGGGCTGCCTCATTTTTATAAGGCGCTTTTTTTAATTAAAAAGAAAAGTTTTGCATCTTTTGAAAAAAAAAAAATCACAGCACTGGTCTGGCTGTTTGGAATCTGGGGACACTTGGGAGGGGCTGGCGGGGGAGCAGGCAGCTTTGGCAGAGGCACAGTGTGAAGCTCGCCCTGTCCCCACTGGCTCCAAGATCACCAGCTGCAGCACCCAGCTGCCAGGAACCTGTGGGTTTTTCTATAAATTTAAACACTGCATTTTAGGGCTGAGGGTGGGTTATTTTAAGGTTGTTCCTTGAGCCATAAATTGCCTCCTTTTCCCCAGAGCTGGGGAAAGTGCTCGAGCCCTACTGACGTGGCCTCTGCTGGGCCCAAAAAAAGCTTTACCTTTTTCTGGAAGTTTCTGAGGTTTAGCCAAACTTCTAGAGTATGCAGGGTTTTTCTTTTCTTTTTCTTTTTTTTTTTTTTTAGTGTGTGTGTGTGTGTGAAGTGCTGACATGCTGCACCTTTTCCTACTCCTGCCTTTTTAGCCAGATTTTTTTTAGATGACTTCCCCAATCTGGTAGGGAAAAAAAAAATGAAGGTCACCTTTGCGGACGATGCATGGAGCTGAGCTCTTTTTCAGGTGAGGAAACTGAGACCCAAAGAGAGCAAGCCATGGCGTGCTGGAATTGGGGTGCTAGTCTGGTCTGGATGCCTCTCGAGGGTTTCTAAGTGTCACTACAGGAAATCGGTGGCTTTTGGCAGTGACCCACCTGGGACTTGCATGGAAACGTCACGAGACCCTCCCCTGTAGGTTCCCTGGTGCAAAAAAAAAATCATGGCAGACAGTGAAGCCCCTGCTTGGATGGCGGGAAGAGGCTAGTCCAGTAATCTACCTTGTAAGCAAGGGGACACCTCTGTACCCCACCCCAAATGTCTCACTCGGGCGACAAGGTGCATCTCCCTGAAAGCTTTTCCTGCCACCCCTCGCCTTCCCCTTCTCGGGGCCCTGGGTCACCATGGTCACTGACAATTGCACAAGTTGTTTCCAGAAAGTGAAAATACTCATGAGCACAGCCCGTTTTAAAACACTCTCACCCCATTGCGACAGAGGCTGGGATTTCCTCCCTCCCTCCCTCCCTCCCTCCCTCCATCCTGCCTCCCCCTGGGGCTCAGCAGCCCTGGAAACAGCTGAGAGCTGTTTGGTAATATCCACGAAAAGCAGAACCGGGAGATGACAATCTGATTCATCTTTCGAGAGTAAATACCCGGGCTCACTTCCGCTGCCACCAAAGGGTGTGAGTGTTTTTGCGCGAGCTGTGCCCTCTCTGCGTGCAACTTCTGCAAAAACTGCCCCGGAACACCATGGTGGCCCCTGGACTGGGGTTCGTGGCCCTCCTGGCTCAGCACCAGGCTCTGCAGCACGGGAGCAGAGGGAAGATCCCGGGCTGACGGTGGGGGAGACGTTTTTCTCGCTTGTTCCAAAACACCTGCCAGATTTCCCCGGGGGGGTGCGAGGGGGGACCCAGGTCTCTGAGTCCAATGACAGGGCAGCCGTGACACAGCTGACACTGTTGGGTCTCCTGCATGCCTCCAAGAGATAGCAAGGAAGGGTCATCCCTCGATGCCTGGCTGTATGCTTCAGCAAGTGACGCTGGGGACGCAGGGCTGGGTTGCACAGACCAACCCAGCAAGGTCGACTCTCCCACCGCCTCCTGAAATCAAACACAGCTCCCACCATGAGCCTCTGGGGTGGGTGGTCCTCAGCCCGGACACCGGGGTCTGGAGACAGTCTGGGTTGTCACAACTTGGAGTTTCTGCTGTCATCTAGGGAGTCCCAGCCAGGGATGCTGCTAAACGTCCTATGATGCGTAAGGCTGTCCCTGTCACCGATCGACCCAGTCCCAAGGGGCAGCACTACTGAGGCTGGAAACACTGGTCTGGGTCCCGAAAGATCATGGTTCCTCAGCAGGGACACAGCTCCGTGTCACGGGAAAATGTCACCCAGAGAGGTACTACACTTCTAGCCCCTGGGATCCTCAGGAGGAGAAGACAGCACCTGGAGAGGCAGCCGCACCTCCTTAGAAAATAGCAAAGACCCAAACCGACAAAACTGCACCTTCAGTTTCGAAACTGAAGGGGACAACAGGTTTCTGGTTCACGCTGAAAGGCTTTCACGTGCCTGCAGTGACGGCTGTATCCCGTTTTCCAGAGCGACACACCTCCTCCATGATGTTTTTCCCTGTGATAGGTTTCTTCTTTTTCGGGGGAGGGGGAGTACCGGGATTTGAACTCGGGGGGGGGGGCACTTGACCACTAAGACATATTCCCAGCCTTTTATATATATATATATATATATATATTATTTGGAGACAGGGTCTCACTGAGTTACTTAGCACCTCGCTTTTGCTGAGTCTGGCTTTGAACTTGCAATCCTCCTGCCTCAGTCTCCCAAGCCCCTGGATTATAGGCCTGTGCCACCGTGTCCAGCTCCCCGTGAAGGGTTTCTATTGTCATTTTCATGGCTGTGAAATATTCCGTTTAGATATGCCAGGAGGTACTTAAGCAAAGAATCTCTGTGTCCATGGGTTCTGCACTGTCTGGATGCCACCAGATGTTCAAGAAACATCGCACCTGTGCTAAACAGAGACAGACTCTTCTTCGTCACGATTCCCCAAACAGCACAGCACAATAGCCGTTGGCCCAGCCCTTGCAGGGCACATCTTCTCATTCAGGTAGAGGTCACTGGACGCCCGCGGGAGGCCAGCCGCACGTTCTGTGCCACACTGGGTCCTTCACATCAAGGGTTCAGCATCTACAGATCCTGGTATCCACAGAGGGGCCAGAGCAACCCCTGGCAGATGCCAGTGGCTATATTTCAAACTGTCCCCAGAGGGCGGGTGAAAGGATTAGACGGGGTGAGGGTTTTGAGGGGTTTTGACGTGCCGATGGCCCTGGTGACGGGGAAAACATTCAGGACCCATTTCTCTGCCAGGCGTCTCCTGTGTTAGCGGCCGGGCACCAGGCGCAGCCCGGGAGGGGTGCGGGACAGGGCTGGGCCTCGCCAGGTGCTGCAGGTGGCCCTGACTCAGCACCCGGCCTCCCCAGGAGTCCCCAGGCCCCAGGCCAGGGCACTGCGTGGCTTAGGTGGCCTGTGCCCCAGCTGTCACCCTGCACCTAGGCCAGGGTGCCCCAGGCACGTGGATGCAGAACGTGATGGCGCCCTGGGAGGGGCGACCTGGGCACCCGGCTCTGCCCTCCAGATGCAGCACGGGGCCCCTCTCAGGTCACAGGGCCGGAGTGGCTCCAGGGTGACAGACCCTGCGTGTGTCACCGGTGACCTACTAAGTCCCCACTCCCACTGCTGCCAGGAGGCCAGGGCAGCGCTGGGGGCCTGGGGGAGGGGACTTGCAGGGACACCCTGCAGCCTGGAGTGGTTCGGGGTTCGGGGCGCAGCGGGAGCGCAGCCTAATTCCCCCGCGGCCCCGCTGACACTCGGGCTGGATCTTCCCGCGGGGCGCCCTGTGCCGGCCTCCCCCACAGACACCAGTGGCACCTCCACCCTGAGGTCACAACCACCCCAGGCTGTGTGTGCAGGCTCTGCCGAGGGGGCGGAACTGGCGCTGGGGACAACGCCACTCCGGCCGCGGGAACCCCCAGCGCTGCCCTGCGCCTTGGGGGCCGGGACCTGGGTCGCCTTGTGAAAAAGAGGGGCCGCGGGGAGGAGGGACGGCGGGGCCTGGCCAGCGCAGTGGTGTCCCCAGACGGGGCTGCAGTTGGTGCCATCGCATGTCAACCTGCCGGGTCCGTGTCACCCTCTCCTTCCTGGCTCTCGCCCCCATTCATTGAGCGGGGCGGCCACTCCTCCTCCTGCTCCCCTCCTCCTGCCCCACGTCCTGACAAGAAGAAATGACTCAGAGGTGACTCAGCTCTGAGCCTCTGCCAAAATGTCTCTCCCGTGACTAACCCGGTGCCGTGGCCCTGCAGCCCCAGCGTGGCCCGCTGTCCCCAGCCTCCCGCAAATCCTCTCTTCTGGCCCCTGCGGCCACCCGGGGAGGAGCGGGGCTGGGCCCGGGAAGGGGACCCTGTCCTGTGGACACAGTGCCCCCGGGCCTGGGAACAGCTGGTGGCTCCCTGTTCCCCACCCACGATCAGCTGGGGACTCCGGGAACCGCTCTTTCCATGCTCCTGTGTGGACAGCCTGCAGCCACTGCCCAGGGACAGGAGGAATGGGTGACCAGGGTCAGGCTGGCTGGGAGCTGGGGCAGCGCCGCCCCAGAGGCACAAGAAGCAAGAGGGGCTGGGGACAGTTCCACAAACAGCCTCCGAGGGATCCTCAGGTGACCAGCAGCTCCACTCCTCATGGGACACCCACACACGCTGCCTCCAGTGCTGGCCTCCTGGCTGGCTAGCGGTTCCTGATCTCCCACCCCTGGGCCTTTGCACTGCCCACATTCCCCGATGCCTCGGTCCCCACTCCACCAGCCCTAGTGGGTGTCACAGTGGATCTGACAGTCCCACCCGGGGAGCAGTGCGGGGACCCCGGGAAAGGAGGAGGGCAGAGGTCCTGCCCACATATGGGGTTTCTGGGAGGGAGGTCTGGCCGGAATGCACGAGAAGGGGCAGGGATGGGGCTGGGCTGCAGGAGTGAAGGGCAGTAGGGAGCCATGGAAGGATGAAGGCAGAAGGTGCCCTGTGACATGGCTCCCTTCCCAGGACTTCAGCTGCAGGCCCGTTCCTCTCTGAGCCCTCACACCCTTCTCTGTGCTCCTCCTGGCTCCGCGTTCTGCCCAGGACTCCTGGGAGGGTCTGTGACTTGTTCTGGGGGCGGGGGGCTGTCCTGGGGACAGAGGCCAGGCCCAGGCTGGCTGCCAATCAGGGAAGCCATGTCACCATTGTGCAGGGAATGCCTGGCCCAGGGAGGATGAGGTCTCTCCAGCCTGTCTCCATCCTGCCCTCTGCCCTCTGCCCTCTGCCCTCTCACCCCTGTGTCTGCTTTGTCTGTTGAATTTTTATTGTGATCAAATTTATCGTCTTAACTATTTTTTTCCTTCTTTTTGCAGAGCCGGGGTGGAACCCAGGGCCTCTCACACA